AAATGATTTTGATGTTATATGGGGTGAATTTCTGGAATATGTTTTTGTTAAAGGGAAGAGAGTCAAACCAGATCAATACATATCATCCTTTTGGAGAGGAGGGTTTATTAAGAATTAGTAATAATAAAAATTTATGATAATAAAAAGTAAAAAGACAAGGAAGGTTATAAGTCCCATGGGTAATGGGTGCACATAGAGGTTAAGTTTATATGTGTTCTATTTTGGTTGTTTGATTGAATTATTTTATGTTTTTGTTATTATTGGTTCTGTGTTTTGTAGTTTGTATTTTAAGTTAATTAAAAAAAATGAACACTAATAGCTATCTAATTTGAAAATAGAGATTAACATTCTGAGATTAAAAATTAGAATTAAACGGTTGTGGGATAAAAATGGCTGTTTCAAATTACACTACTTAACATGTTTATGAGCCTGGGCACAGACACGCTAGTCCAACACCCGTGAGGTGGTCATGCATGCGTACATGTTTACATAATTCCATTCTAGGCCCTGGATAAATACGTAGTGCTATGAAGTTGGGACTCTATCAACATCCTGAAGTTGGCACAGAATTAACTATTGGCTGCATGGATGAAAATAATGGTCTTCTTAGGCCAGACTTAGAGTCTATCATGGTCTGCCATGTTCTATATGCTGCTGCACAGAATTTTGCAATGCTGTACGTAATGGCAGGGTTCTCATCTGAAAGTAGCCAAGACTGTAGAAATGGCTTGTGCAGCCAGGGTACTTGTGCAGGAACAGAGTAATAGTATCATCCCAAGCATCTCAATAAAATGGGCAGAAAAGGAGGACATGCGCTATACTTTCGACCTGCCCAGGGCACATAGGCACGGTCTCTCCGCCAAATGGAGTTTTTTTAATATCTGCTTTCAAGAACAGCTGTGGGGAGGGCATAGCACCAAGTTAAAGTAAAAACCCTTCTGTGGCTTGGAATTTCCAGTTGTTGCAGACAGGGAAGAGAAGAGAGAGCACTTAACTAAAATAAAATGAAAACGAAGGAGCATTTCATTCCATATACATAAATCTGAACAGAGTTGGATATATCCACAAATCAAAAGGATCTTCTCCAGCATTCCATTGGCATGCTTAGGATAAATCTGAAGTCTCTGTGAATTTATTTAAGTTTATAAATTAACTTAATGTTTATAAATAAAATCCCTGGTACATATCACTTACTTTAGGAGCCATTCAACAATTTTACTCTTTGTGCGGAGGTGAGGCAAGGTGTATTTTTCTTCTCCATCCTCAAAGAACTTGAGTGTTGGAAATCCTGATATGTGAAATTTTTCTGCCACTGCTTTGTTGACAGTTGCATCTACTGCTGCCAAAACACCTGGCTTCTGCAATATAAAGCATTGCCTATAACAGATATCCTAAGTTGTGAACAATATACTTAAATGGAAACTCTGAATTTACAGAGTAGTTATCTACAGTTCACAGTGGGTTTAGAAAGGAAATGCAAATGCTTTGTAACCTTTCATCATCACCAACTACTGGAGAGTTTTACAAGTTTTGTTATGACAAACATGTTATCCATTCAGGGATAATCCTTCTGAAAAGTGTCCAACCAATTAACCAAACATTTGTTTAATTACAGTATTTAATTTAATGCCGTAAAGGGAAGGAAAAAAAAATTAGCACTGAGAAATAAGCATTAAGCCAGTGAATAGCTTCACAGCTAATAGTAGTGATCAAACCCTGCAGAATTTGCGTGATGATGGATCCTTGGGCTTTAGCTAAAGTATTTCTACAAACTTGCTCTTATATAAATCCCATTTGAAGAGTGATCCTTCTTGATGGCCTTTACTGGAATGGCAAGATTTATCACAGATCTTATGATGCACTAAAATCAATTGATCAAGTCAAGAGCAGCTGTACAAAATAATAAAATAATCCAACTTAACCATAATAAAATAGCTTAAAATATACAAAATATAAACAGCACTCAATAAGAACCAACACATCATGTATAATGTGGGATAAGCAACATAAATGCTTGGATAGACAAATGCAGAGGGGTGCTGCCTCAAATACTGAGATCCCAAATTCTACCACTTTTTGTCTCACTTTTGACCCTTGAGCCATTAGAAAAAGAGAGATTTAAGATAACAAGAAAAAGGTATTAAGTGCCTAAGTTAAGATCTGCTCCTATTTATGGCATGATCAATCTGCATAACTGATCTTCTAGGTACACACACATTCAAATGAAAACTTATGCCACCTGCTTAAAAAAAAAAGGCTCTTATTAATATATCAGTACATAGCATAAATGCAAACCAGTATTTTCTTAATTTTTTTACATTAAACATGAAATTTGTAATTAATAGAGGAAACAAAGCAGTTGGGTGCAGAATTTGGGCTTTATCATATTACGTACAACACAAGATTCAATCGCTGAATATCACTTTTTTTTTTGGTTTGTGTTTAAAGACACAATGTTCTTACTAATAATTTTGGCAGAGCTCATGCATTACCAATAAGATTATTCTTTGAAACTATCTTTTTTGCCACCCCTTGGGAAGATGAAATAATTGCAACAAGAACTTTTTTATTATTTCAGTTACTTATTAAGGATCATTTGAAAATGGAAAGGAAAGAATATTAGCTTACATCACCATCTGTATGGAGCATCTCTGCGGCTTTCTCATATTCAGGCTTCATTTTCTTACAATGTCCACACCCTGACAAAGAAAAGTTTAGAAGTTTTATTTTTGGCAAAAAGTATTGGCCTGCTACATGCTTCATCAAAATCAGAGTTTCCAAAGCAAGCAACTTGTTCATCTATGGAATTAAAAATTGCCAACATATTTTAAGAAGTATGTGTCAGACCTTTGTAAACATACTATTTTATGGATTTGTTTTATTTGTCCTCTATACTGAAACTTTTAGATTAATATTGTAATTCCAATAAAAGCTTTTCTATTTAACTGAAAGGGTTGTGTTTTGTTTAAAAATGAAGTTAACCATGCCCCTCTGAGAACGGATGTCTGACTAGCAGCAACACAATCCTCCAAATCACAAGTATCGGAAAATTGTATTTCAAATAAAGGCAGACTACGTTACAATAAAATACTGTAATGTTTTATTTCTATTATTGGTTGAAAATTGGTAATGGATTTTTGCATTCTGTCTTCAAGGCATTCTATCCACGATAGGCCATATCATTTGAAGACAGGACAGTAGAGGCTAAAACAGAAAGAACACCTATCTTGGGATAGTCACTGAGTTCATGGCTGCCATGAAATTTGTAACTGGAGCTCCCGGTTCCCAGCTGAATCTATAAAACCCTACATTATACTAGGCTTGAGAGTTAGAACCCAAGGACTGATGCTAGAGCAGGCATCTTGATTAAGATATATCTTTACATCAGAGAGCTTATTCCTTTGAGACTCACTTGGATGAACATGAAATGGCTACCTTTCAGTCCAGGGAACTGTACATCAGTGCTGTGACTCAGTGAAAAGTAGGAAGTTGTTGGCTCTAGTTAATGCTCCTTGATCTTTACACACCCTCTGCTAGTTTCCAATACCTTCTTTGTCCTTTCAGTGTAATCTCCCCTCACTTCATAGAGAAATGGTGCACAGCCTTTTGGTCCTGATAAATTCTACAGGGCATTTTTGTACACATATTTACCCATCAAATGCATTTCAAGAGCCTTGAGGAATACATGAAAAGAGAGTAGAAAGGGAACTGTATTATCCTAAGTAATTCTTCTCAATTCACTTCAGTGACATCAGAAAACATTTAAGAATATTAATTTTAAAAGGCAGGCCCAGATATTATTTTTGTTTCCAGCATAAATTTTAATATAGCATGATTTCATCCCATGACTTTCATGAGACACAAAATAAATATTTCTATTTTAACTGTGTAATTCTATCACCTACATCTCTGATACTGCATTGTGGCCTATAGTAGAAAAATGGCATTGGTTAGGACAAGTAAAACACCACCCTCCCTAAAATTACATTTTCAGGGATTGGGGAACAATAAATTTGCTCAGCCATAAAACTGAGAAGGGCAAGGAATGTTGATAGAGCTAGGAGGAGATACTAAGAAGTGAGCAAAGGCTCTGAGAAGCAAGGCCACTATAAGATAAACCCATAAAAGTAACTCCTTAGAAAGAAACTATATTCATGAAATACTGCCTCTCTGTTCTTTCAAATATACCGAAGTCTTTGAAGTACTGCCTTCATTACCCCACAGTATTCCCCTAACTACCTCACTGACCTCACTACACATGATGAGTTCCTGTATCCAACCAAATGTACATCTGAATTTGCAGAACTCTGACTCTCCTCCGCCCCCCCCCCCGCTTTTTATGTTTGCTTTGGTTGCTTCAGGTACCATAATAAGCAATCTCTGCTTCTACCTAGTTGTGTGCTGGTCTTTGGTTTAAACAAATTACTGGGGAAATTTGTGAGGGAGATTTTTCCTACAAGTCCACATTCACTATTTTTAAAAGAAATTGTTTAATGGAACATTCAGCTTGAAGAAGACATTTGCACCATTTGTAAATGTCTTCTTCAAGCTGAATGTTAAACAATTTCTTTTAAAAATAGTGAATGTGGACTTGTAGGAAAAATCTCCCTCACAAATTTCCCCAATAATTTGTTTAAACCAGAGACCAGCAGGTTTAATGGAGACTAATAGGTGCCAATGGATTCCTAAAAACTTTGGTCCTATGTCACTTGGTGAAATGAGGAAATGTCCCAGGCAGTTGATTTGACCACTCCTGAACACTTTCTCAGTGGCTGACCCAGCCTTATGGAACAGCTTGCCTCCTGAAGCCAAGTTGGCCCTCTCTTTTTTAATCTTCTAAGAGGTGGTAAAGACACTGTTCTTCTGTGTAGGGAGTGCTATACTGGGGCTGTTAATGCTCACATCTAGTTTGGTTTTAGCTTTGTGAATGTACGGTTTTATTATGGAATTGTTCTTACTGATTGTTGATCTTGGAATTTATGTAACTATGAGCTGCCCAGAGCCCTTGATTGGGAAAACATACAAATTTCAGTAAATAAATAAATTGTGCAGAACCCATCCGGCTCCTTGTAATATACCTCAGTTAAAGGCAGTGAAGCATGTCAGGAGATGATTAGAAAACAGGTGGAGAAAAACTCCTCTTGAATCTGATTATATCTCAGTAATGATTTCTACAGTGTATCAAACCTATTCTATAGCAGTTATGGAAGTGAAGAAATATTTTTTTATCCTCCACTACTGCATCCTCTCAGCTTCTTCCAACAGAGTTTTCCAAAGGAATAGAATTTTATTAAGTAACTAAAACAGAAAGTTAAAACAGTCAAATGTAGTACAAAGTAAAGCTCTCTACCCATCCTACATTTTTCAGCCACATAATCGGGCAATTTCATCTTTTCCCCAGAATATTTTTTTAAATGCTCCAGTTCAATATCCCTTTCAAAAATACTGTAAATATATTCAGTACTGTAATGCACAGATGAAATTGCACAATGTTTGACAATGTTTCTTCTGACAAAGCATCAGAGATAATAGGATATGATTCTTTTAAACTATAATATTTTGGTTCTCTAAACCTTACCTCAGCATAAGTTCTCTTGGTCTTGATTATTTGAATGTATTGCTCTTCTTATCAGTGTATTTTCCTATTTGTTTAATTTACTTGTTAGTTTTATTCCCTGACTTTTCTCCAAGAGCTCCAGGCTTACATGAGTATCTCTCTCTAACCTAATCCCACAATAGTAACCCTGTGAGGCAGACGAGTTGGGCTGAGAGAGCAGCCCAAAACCACTCAGAGAGTTTTCATAGTTAAGGGTGGACATGAACCTGGGTCTCCCCAGTCACAGCTCAACATCTTAACCACTATGCCATATTGGCTCCCTTCAATGCATAGGAAACTGCAGCTGTCTTTGAGAACACATACTTTATGGGGAAGGTAAAATACCCCAAAACACACATATCTGAATTCAATTTAATCACACAGCCAAAGGAAAAATGCAACAAAGATTAATTTTTTTACATCGCAACTGATTTACATGGCTACTTGCAACAGGTCTGTGTTTCTTTAGACTGCAATTTACTTCTGAGTTTGTTTGTAAGTATTACTTGGTTATGCATATCTTTATAAAATGGGCTTAGCAAGTAACCTGACTTTGAGAGGGGAATGGTATGATTACTTCTGGCTGAGAGACAAAAGCAGTATATTGACCATCTGGCAAGGCACCACCAACAGAAATCATCCTTTGGAACTTGTAATAAAAATGAATATAAGCTAACATTAGTGGCCTGGGGGAGTAAACAAGCTTATTTCACCAAAAGTTAAGGATGTGTTATATCAGTATTTTCAGCTCCATTTTTCTCCTCCTTCCCTTGTAACTGGAAGGAGCAGTTGGGACCATATTGGGCTTTGGCTCATATTTGAGAAAAAGATCCCTGGAAACTATCTCAGGTTAGTTTTATAAAGCACTTCTGAAGAGGCCGTCCTTCTCTCTGGAAAAGCACTGGCTCTGAGATAAAAGCAGACTTAAGTTGCTAGGATACCTGCCAAGGCAAAGCCCTGCTCAACTTCCCAGGAAGGGAGTTAGTATCGAGGTGTAGGAAGAGAGAAACTTTTTTATTTCCTAGGTCTTTCCTTTACAGTATTTCCAAACGGAAATACATTCTTTAGCCAAAAAATGAAACAGAAAGTGCTACTTGATATCACCACTCTTCCCTTTACTTGCCCTCTCAAGGTCAGGAAAGGTACGCTTTTGAATGAGCCAAGTGCCAGATTTTTCTCCGTGGACATACCCCCCAAAAATAAGCCTATCTTATTTAAAGTGACAGGAAGTTTATCCCCTCAAGAGCGAGCAAATTAATTGCCATCACATCTGTACCATGTCAGCTGTGTGAACCTGGGCAAGACACAGCTGCCTTAAGGAACTGCAGACAGATGCTGTAGCTGCACTGGCATGTACTCTGAAGTACTTTTTTGGAATGGAATCCAAAATGCTGCATAGCTATATTGGCTACTGCTTCTGCCACATGTTTCAGAACTTAGGGGACATATTGGTGCCACACATCCTCCTTGTTATGGGGGTCTTTTCCTTTATTCTCCTTCTGTTACGCGGCCATCACTAGACCCCTTTCAGAGTTTAGAAATTCTTTGTCTTTAAGGTAACATAACTGGGTGGAACGTAAAAAAGATATAGGACAGCAGAGACATTTGGCTAATTTAGGAACCGACAGATTTTTATTAAATAACTAAATATTAAAACACTTGTTTCTACAAATTATTTACATTCTGTCAAGAGTAACCTAGCCAAACCCTAAATATTATTCCTAACCTTGTGTCCCTTACAGGGGCAGATTTTTCCAGGCTGGGACTCTGAAACTCTCTCAGACCTGTCCTTCGATCTGAGCCTCCCAAATCCCTCTCTTAGTTCCGCCTCCTGCTGGAACATAACCTGGGAGGAGCTCAGTGTTGCCATCCTTTGATTGGCCATTCCACTACCCAATCATCGCAGCCTGGCAGGATGATTCATGCATCCTTCATACAGATGAAAAGTGCAAAGACCTGGTTCTTTCTTCATGTCCAAAGTCACTGGTTCTAGGAGGTGTTTATTCCATGTTTATTCCTAATATATTTGATCACAGAATGTTTTTTTGGAAAAGTGACACCAAGGTCTTATAAAACCCTGAGCATCTATCAAGATTTGAGAGA